TGCAGGCGAGCTAAGCGCGAGGCCGAGGTCACTGAGGCCTGGTCACTCGAGGGCGCCTAGGCCCATTCCCGCTGTTGAGGCGGCAGGCGGGCTTCGTCCGCCCGACACCGCACCGCGCCACGCCTCCTCCTCCCCATCCCCCCCTCCTCCTCCATTCTTTTACCTGGTAGATAACTTCTCCCTGTCGCACCCCGAGGCCAATTTTTAGGGCGGGCCAGGCGTTTCGCGTGAGACTTCCCCACCGTTGATGATTCCGAAATTTTAAATATGACAAGAGTTTCACAGATGGAGGGCGGGTGGTCTTCAAAATGAGGCTCTCGCATAAGCGCCGCCCGCATTCGTTTCAACAACTTTCAGAAATTTCACGGATTGAGGGCGGGTGGTTTTCAACATGTGGCTCTCGCCTTAGCGCCGTGCACATTCGTTCAAAACATGTGCAATCGTTTTACGGATTGAGGGCGGGTCTTTTTCGAAATGTGGCTCTCGCTTTGGCATCGCGCACATTCGTTAAACAAATTGCAAGTTTTTCGCAGATGGAGGGCGGGTCGTTTCCAACATGTGGCTCTCGCTTCAGCGCCGCACACATTGGTTTAACACATTTGCAATCGTTTCACAGCTGGAGGTCGGGCCGTTTTCAAAATGTGGCTCTCGCCTCAGCGCCGCGCACATGCGTTTTCAAACAACTGCAAGAGTTTCACGGATTGAGCTCAACTTACCAGAAATAGTGTTTTGGACAAATTCAGGATTATGCAGGGGCAACAATTATGTTGACTCGCTGTGTTGACGTCCCCAAAATGGCGTTCTAGCACGATTCTGGATCGTCAAGACGCAGCAGTCAGGTTGATGCGTGGCGTTGACATCCCGAGAATCATGTTTTGGCACGCTTCAGGGTCTTCAAAGTGTTGTCTTCCAGCGAGGCAGTTCCCTCAATGGAAACGAACCGTTGTAGGGGCCTGCGAAGAGGGAACTTGGAGGGAGGGTGAATGCCAACATCGTTGATGACTCTTGGGTTTCCACTGATCCTCCTCCTCCCCCCCCTCCTCCTCCTCCTCCTCCTTCCCCTCCTCCTCCTCTTTCCTCCTTTTCCTCGCCCACAGACGCGGTCCTCTGGTCCTCCACGGCCTGGCCCCCTCGCGCATGGGCTCGAAGATGGCCGCTGTCGTCGCCCAGCGCCGCTCCGCCGCCACCGCCATGACCTTGCACTTCGGGTCCTCCGGCGTCGCTGCGGGCTTTGCTGCAGCGGCAGCGCAGGAAGAGCTCCTCGAGGGCCAGGACGTCCTCCGTGAGTGCGGTGTCGGCCCCGGAGCCCCTCGGGACGGTGTGCAGCTTCTCGTCCGCGTGCGGGCCGTGCTCGTCGACGAGCTCGATGCTCTTCTTGAGCAGCGCGAGGAAGCAGCGGATGTGCGGGGCTCCGCGAGCTCTGAAGTCCACGTCTTGGCTGGCCTTCTGCTTCCCTCTGAGCGCCTTGCCCTTCCGATCGTATCTCTTCTCCTTGCGCCGCCATCGCTGTTCTGAGGTCGCCTGGACCTGATTCTTGTGCAAGAAACGAGGGGAAGACCACTGCCTCGAGAGGCGCCAGCTGCCTGCCGCGTGAGGTCGCGAGGCGGGCCAGCTTCCGCAGCGTGATCTTGAGACTCCTGCCTCCTGGGCCGCCTGGGCCCCCACCGCCGCCACCCCCGTTCGGGTCGCCCCTGGGCCGCCTGCAGTGGTCTGTGCCACCGCCGCCGCCGAGGACTGGCCCCGCGCCTGCGCGTCTCATGAGAGAGGACATCTTGATGTCCGATGGCTCCTCCGCTGCCGCCGCCGCCGTTTCTGACAATAGCTGTCACAGAATTTGGGGGTTCGGAGCGCTCTCGTGCTGGTATCCGGCTTTTGTGCAACGACAGATCACCGAAGACGAGCCAGGATACGGCTATACGACAGTCGTCATGGTCTCTGCCTCGAGACTCGCACATTCGGCATTGATGCGTAGTTGACTCAGTCCAGGGGACCACACTTCTGGGACCATAGGCGCCACGGACGGTATCCCCCGGTAGCTGCAGCCTGGAAATGCCTCGCAGGCATGATGCGACTCCTGGAGACCTTCAAGCAGACGGGGCATTCATCCGAAGTAACCAGGACATGACTTAGATTACGGACGTGGTGTCTGTGTCTGAGATGCCCCATAAGACTTCTCAGTTTAGAAGATCGGCATGTGCACGTGCTCCTCCTCCCGTCATCCTCCGCCACCTCCACTGTACATGCACAAGGACGGTGTAGATCAACTCCTTCATCCTCCCCCTCTTCAGCAGAAGCACGCGGAGAGGCAGGTCCAGGCATCCCCGCTGCAACCCCGCGGGACGCGCTTCGCACGCGAGTGCCAGCGCCCTGCCTCTGGACCCGACGAGCACCGACCTTCGCGACAGCCCCCCGCGCTTCCTCCGGCCCGAAGCCCGAGGAAGCAGCTCCTCCGAGCTCGGGCGCGAGCGGGCCGCCCTCCCGACGTCCCAGCCGCACCTGGACGTCTGCCTGGAAGTTTGGTGGTACAATTTTGAGGTGCGAAGGATTGCAAAAAACCCTGGATTTTTTTGCAATCCTGTTTTTTTTTGCAATGCTGTTTTTTTTGCAATCCTGTTTTTTTTTTTTTTTTGCAATCCTTGGGTTTTTGTTTTGCAATCGGTCGCTTCCATTTGTAGGAAGCGTCGTGCCCGTCTGCTCGCTTTTCCGCCTGGCACGGCCCGGCGGCAGGCCTCTCGCAGCATGCCATGCGCCTTTCTCGGCCGGCGCGCGACCAGCCGAGCCCCCCCGGGTCCCGCGTGCCCAGGCCCCCTCCCCCTCCCCCTCCCCCTCCCCCCTCCCCCTCCCCCTCCTCCTCCTCCTCCTCCTCCTCCTCCTCCTCCTCCTCCTCCTCCTCCTCCTCCTCCTCCTCCCTCCTCCCCCTCCCCCTCCTCCTCCTCCTCCTCCTCCTCCTCCTCCTCCTCCTCCTCCTCCTCCTTCTCCTCCTCCTCCTCCTCCTCCTCCTGGGCGCCCGCGCGGTCGGTCCAGCTGCAGAGCTGGGCCAGGGGCTGGGCTCCTCGAGCGGCGCCCGGCCACGGAGCAGCGCCGGGGGGACCTGAGCACGACCTCGGGGAGGAGGAGGGAGGGGAGGAGGAGGAAAAGGAGGAGGAGGAGGGGGACGAGGAGGAGGGGGAGGGGGAGGACCAGTGTAAGCCCAAGAGTCACCCACGATGTTGGAGTAAGCCCTCTCCGAGCTCCCTTTTTTTCATAGGCCCCTAGGAGCCGCCCACGGTTGGTGTCAAGGCAGTCGTCGTGGTCATAGCTCTCTCTTGCGATCAGCACTCTCTTCCAATAGTCTAGCACTTCGCGTGCGGAAAGAGAGGTCGTGCATGCTCGTCGTCGTGTGCGCATGCCCCCCCCGCCAGAGCCGTCCTCACCGACCGTGTTTAGTGTCTATCCATGAGGTGTGTTTGCTTATCTTTGAGTGTGAGGGGTTCCATTCCAGTAAGTAGTGACCCTTGGACTAGGTCGGTAAAGACAACTCTTTTCCACTGTCGGGGAACGTCCACAGACCAGAGTGCGGCCATGCTGGTGTAGACGCCTGCTGAAGCTGCTGATATATTCAACGCTCTGTTCCAGGGGGGACAGTTGAAGAGTAATTGCTGGTTCAAGGTAACGAGCAGTTTTTGTCACCGTACTCTCGAGCCGTCCCTCCTTCGCACCTCGCTCCCTCCCTGAGATGGCGTTTACGCGCCGACGTGCCTTCGCCTGCGACTTAGAAGGTAGTCACCTGCTTTGTCCTAATCTGAACGTATCCGGCTGACTTACGAGTGATCGAGTAATCGGTCAACCCCTCTGAGGTCTGCACTCACATTTACCATGGCGTCGACGATCGGTGACGGAACTAGTCTAAGTATGTCATCTGTTCTTTGACATGACGTGTCAATTGGTACTCCATACCACACGGCCTGCAATACATTCGTGCTGGGGATGTGCTCACGTACTTGGTCCGCCCATTCTGCCACCGGTGCCCTGAAAGCCCCCACGAAGCCCTGGACATTGAACGGATCCCCCATGACACCCCCACATCCACTTTAAGCATCAGGGGCTCAGACGTGATTCTAATTTTCATGGTTGACAGGCGGTACCACTGCTTACACAAGTTACGGTCCTGGGGAGTCACTTTCTCTTGGATCAGGGCGTCGAGGGCGGCCCACTCACTCAGTGCTGCCGAACGTGTTTGACATGTCTTTTCATACTGACTGCGTAGGACCACCCCTCCTGCCTGACACGGAAGCCCATAGTCAAGACGCTCATGATGTATCCTGCCTCCTATTATGACGACCGAATCTGTGATCCTGAGGTGGGAAGAGGTAGACGTTTCGCGTACCAGGCTTTCCCCAGGGCATGTAGTGTAGTGTACGGACAGGCTTCTGTCCCTTCGGTCCTAGCGTGTCGTTCTTATAGAGGGCCACTCCGCGACTGCGGTGCCAGTAAAGAGCCAGGCGAAACACGGGTTGGCTAGCTATCAGGCTGGCAAGAGGTTCCGAGTACCCAAGGCCAAATGTGTGATGCTGATCGCGCGCAAGAGAAACTAACATATCCCACAGCCTCATGATGGCGTGCCAGGGGGATCTGCACGACGTTTGCGCCCCCGACGGAAGAATGACCTCAGAGAAGAATGATCTTCCGATGCCGGGTTCTCCAGGAAGAGGTGGAGGAGGAAGGAGGAGGAGCAGGAGGAGGAGGAAGGATGAAGGAGGAGGAGGAAGGATGAGGAGGAGGAGGAAGGAGGAGGAAGGAGGAAGGAAGGAGGAAGGAGGAGGAAGGAGGAAGGATGAGGAGGAGGAGGAGGAAGGAGGAGGAGGAAGGAGGAAGAGGAGGGAGTAGGAGAGGAGGAGGAAGGAGGAGGAAGGAGGAAGGGAGGAGAGGAAGGAGGAGGAGGAGGAGGAGGGAGGAGGAGGAGGAGGGAGGAGGAGGAGGAAGTCTGAGGGGGGGGCGCGGGCCGAGGGGCCGCTGGGGCGGCCTGGGGCGCAGCTCGTCCTGCGGCTCGCTGAGCCGCGGGGCCGGCCCGGGGTCGCGGAGCGCCTCGCGGGGCTCGCAGGGCCTGGACGCGGAGGCGTGCCCTGCGCCCCGCGCCGCCGCCGCGCGCGGCCTGTCGGCCCCACACGCTGTCGCCGTCGCCGCGCCGTCGCCGCGCCGTCGCCGTCGCCGCCGCCATGTGCTGAGCTGATTATCACCACCCACCAAACCACCCCAACCCAACCCGAAGGCTCAGATTTACCCTCGTTTTCCAGTGGGGGGGGTCGGGAAACATCGAAAAAACACATGTGGAACCCTTACCCACCCCAACCCGAAATTCGGGTCTTCGGGTTGGGTTGGGGTGGTCTGGTAGGTAGTCAGATTACACAGGGGAACGAACAGTGACATAAACATAAAGATTCGGAGGGCCGCGCGGATTCCTCGGATCGGTGCTGGACCCCCTCCCTGGCGCGCGGAGCGCGCCAGGGGCGGCGCCGGAGGCCGAGTTTTTATGCTTATGTCCCTGTTCGGTTCGGTTATGCATGTCCTATGCGTGCCGACGGGGACGAGAAGCGGTCGGCCCTATCGGGGCACCTGACGGGCAAGTTCCTGGGAGGGACGTGGGCTCTCTCCTTTGAACACTTCTCTTCGCCACACACATCACATCACACTGGCACCCCATGGGGGTGACTGAGGGCTTCCTGGCGGGGGCAGCGGACAAGCGGGCGGCGGATGCAGAGGAAGTGGTGCCAGAGGCCGAGCCAGCGAGGAAGTGGCACGCGAAGAAAGGCAAGAAATAAAGTGCAGTAGGTTCGCGTCGTGTCGACCGGCGGCGACCCCGCCGCCGGCGTTCAATGTTGAATGCCGCGGGCGCCCAGAATCGGTCGAAGGTGAACGATCCGACGTTTGGGAAACGGCCGACCGTTCAATCTTGAACGATCCTCGCGGCGTCAGGAACCAACGCGGGGTTCGACGCGAGACGAATCCGCGATATTCTCCTTCATGAAAGCGAATCAGGAGCCTTGGAGTCGGCGGGGGAGGTGGCTCAGCATGGTCAGCGGGAAGGTTCGAGAATGTTTTTTTTACCTCTTTCGGTCTGCGGGGCCCGTTTTCGGTTCTCGGGGCCCTGGGACTGTCAAAACGGATCCAGGGCGAAAACCTGTACCAAAGGAGCCCTGGGAAGAGTCCGGGGGCAGCTCTTGAGCGGATTCGGCAGTATACCCCCGCCTTGACCGATTTTCTCGGGGCACATCCAGCTCAGCCCCCCTGGCCGCCTCCACTATGAATTACTCTCCTCCTGAGGCCAGACTTACCGTCCCCCCTCTTTGCGTTTTTTATATTTGTTCTGCGCGGTCGTCCAGCCGCACCGGTGTAGACCTCACCCCCGCGCCATCGCCTGCAATTAATGCCATGCGTTGCACATGCGTGGATATAAGATGATTTCGCTCAACATCCATTTCAACAAACGCGTTGCGGGGCACATGCGCTTGCCGCCGTGCCTTCGAAGCTGTTTTTCCCAACTATCCTGTGATGTTGGTCCTCGTTTTGAAGAGACAGCGCCCCGCGTTCCTCCTTCTCCTTAATTCCTTTTCCGCACAATTAACTTCTCCCTGTCGTACCTCAAAGCAAGCTTTCAGGGCGGGCCGTGTGTTTCGCCTGCAACTTCCTCACCGCTTATGACCCTGAGTCTTTAACATTAGCAGCCGTTTTACAAATGGAGGGCGGATCGTTTTCAAAACGTGGCTCTCGCCTTAGCGCCGCGCACATTCGTCGTTACAATTTTCAAGAGTTTAGCGGATTGAGGGCGAATCGTTTTCAGAATGTGGCTCTCGCCTTAGCGCCGCGTGCATTCGTTAATTCATAAGAATTCCACTGCTTGAGGGCGGTTCCTTCTCAATATGTGGCTCTCGCCACAGCGCCGCGCATATCCGTCTTTGACATTTGCAAGAGTTCCACGGATTCACATGATCAGCGTACCATAACTGGTATCCTGGAAGGATTCAGGATTCCGATGAGGGTGCAGCAGTTACGTTGATTCGCGGTGTTGAAGTCCCAGGAGTGGCGTTCTGGCACGATTCAGGGTCGCAAGACGCAACAGTCAGGTTGATCCGTGGCGTTGGAATCCCGAGAACAATGTTTTGGCATGCTTCAGGGTCTTCAAACGGTTGTTTTCCAACAAGGCAGTTCCCCCAGTGGAGATGAACCGTTGTAGGGGCCTATGAAGGGGGAGCTTGGAGGGAGGGTTTATTCCAACATCTTTGATGTCTCTTGGGTTTACACCGGTCCACCTCCTCCTCCTCCTCGTCCTCCTCCCAACCATACTCCTGCCTCTGCCCTTCGCAGGTCCACCATTTCAGCGCACTCAGTACAGCGTTCCGTGGCCCCACAGGGAGCTCCACCGAAGGCCCCAGCGGCTGTGACCACATGCGTCTCCGCCACCCATGTCGGCACACCCCTCACACGTTTCGTGGCCCATAGGGAGCTTCACCGAAGGCCCCAGCGGCTGTGATCACATGTGTCCCCGCCACCCATTTCGGCCGAAAGCATCAGACGGGCCAAGAGCTCCCCAGAGGAGCCCAAGGTAGCCCCAAAACGGTCGACCGGGGCCCTCGGCATCCTTCAAGATGGTCCCGAGACGTCCTATCCGCAGCCATTTTAGCTTAATTACGCCGTTTTACTTGCAACGTTGTGTTGTTTTTGTGGTCTGCTTTTGCCACTCTTGTCGGCATTCCGTTTTCGCCACATGGTGTTTGTGAGTGCCGACGGATCTCGCATGGTGGCACTGGTTGTTGGCAGCGGGTACAGATCTCGCCACCTCTGCATGTTCGAGAGGATGCGCGAGTTGGGCATGAGCACTGTCGTCGTTGTCGACGAGGGTTCTTGGGCTCATGAGATGGAGGTCACTGGTGTGGTGCACACGGTGGTCGTCGTTCCAGGCCTCGAGAAACTTCCGCAGGAAGCGGAGCTCGCCGATGCAGTCGTGGACGCCTTGCGGGCCGCATCGGTTGGCAACGTCACAGGTGCCTACAACTTGATCAACTGGTACTTGCCTTTGACCGCTTTGGTCGCAGAGAGGCTCGGCGTGGTGACGAACAGCTACGAGGCAGTGCGGAGATGCGTGTTCAAAAACGAAACCCGCAAGTGCCTCGTTGCCAGTGGGTTGGAGTCGTGGAAATCGTTCCCTTGTTCCAAGAAGCAGGACATTGAACAGGCTGCGAGACAGATTGCGTTCCCTGCGATCTTGAAGCCAGCCAGGGGTTCAGCCTCGATTGGTGTCGTCAAAGTCCTTTCCGCAGAGGAGGCCGTGAAGACATTTTTGGAGCAGCGCGCCGAGCGCAACATCCAGGACGAGGTTTTCCTCTTGGAGGAGTACATTGACGGGCCGGAATTTGGCGTGGAAATCATAATGCAGCATGGCCGCCACTTATTTTGCTCCGTCATGGACGCCGACAAGCAGAGCCACGGCCAGTTCTTTCAGGGCACGGGCCGCAGCTTCCCTACTGTCCACGGGCATGTTGTCGAGGCTCTTGTTGCCTCCCACTGCGTTGCTTCCGTGCATGCGCTTGGCTTGACGACGGGAGTTTTTGATCTTGACGTGAGGTTCTCCCCACGCTGTGGCGTGCGAATCTTGGAGGTCAATGCGCGCATGGGCGGCGGCTCTGTCCAGAGGATGCACAAGCATGTTTACGGAATGGATTTGGTTGAACTTCATTTGCAGACGTGCATGGGCATCTCCGTGGGACATTTAGCCGACAGGCATCCCTTGGAGCCGTCGGTGTGCTACGAGGCTGGCTGGGTGGAATCCCCGTATTCTGGCGTTGTCTCTGGCATTGGCATCGATGCCTTCACGGAGAGATTGCGATCCATGTTCAGGGAGAATCCACACGTGTTGGAGTTCGTCCCCTTCTGTGACGACGGTGATGCCATCAACGGCTACAAGGTGCCGGGCTTGCCGACTTCGCTGATCTTGGTGTTCACAAAGGGTGCCGAGAAGAGCTTCGCCCAGCAGCACCTCGCTGGGGCGCTGCGCGCAGCGGAGGAGCGCATCGCGGATCTCGTCGAGCCGGACGCTTCGCTCGCCCCCCGGGTGACGACCAGCGTCGATGCTGTGGTCACGGCGGCAGTCGGCACGGCTATGCTCTGCACGGCCGCCGTCTTGACGCACCAGATGTTAGTCGAGCAGGTGATGTCTCCGAAGCGGTGCAATGCCCAGGCCGATTGCATGTCGATCCAGCCGCTTGAGCCTCCCGAGGCTTCTGTGGAGCAGCTGCCCTTGCATGTCCCCTCGTCCGCTCGTCCAGCACGGGCGGTCGTCCAGTAGTCTTGAGCGTGCGGCCTTTTTCCATTGATTGCCAAGTCAGTCTTCGACAGTACAGTGTCGTTGGGCGCTGCCTCAGTGGGTGGCTTGGTTGGTGTGACTCGTGCTCGCGCCCATCTGTTTTGCGCGCGCGCCCGCGCGCGCGTGTGTGTGTGTGTGTGTGTGTGTGTGTGTGTGTGTGTGTGTGTGTGTCATCGGCCTTGGTGGGTCACCGAGGGCTTGATGTACACAATTGCTCTACCCAATTCGGTGCGCGCCAGCTCAAAGCCTTGAGAGTGCGGGCCGCTTGCCGCCCGGCGCCCAGGCGGACGCCTGCCCGAACCGGTGCACTGTCTCAGGAGGGCCTCCGAGGACCTCTGGCGACTGGCGAGTGCTGACGTGGCGTCGCCCCGCAGGTGGCGCCAAGCTGGCCTTCGGACCTGCGCCTCAGCAGTCCCAGGGCGGGTGGGCTCGGCCAGCCCAGCGTGTTCGAAGGTGGTCGCCGGGTGCGGACGTCGAAGAGGACGCCCGCGAGCGGCCCCTCCCGAGCTCGAGGACACGCCCCGGAGGCAGACCTCCTCGGGGTCCTTCGGTCTGCCGGAGGGCGAGCTTCCACAAGTGACTCACAGACAGACAGCTCCCGCGCGGCCACGAGGCCGGTCTTGCACAGGACACGGGGGAAAATCAGCATGCAGAGCTCTCCTGCAACACGCAGCCACGCTCCACAGCGCGCACGACAACAATGACGCCACACCGCACGTGCCCACGCGGCCACACTCCGACGCGGCACTCCACGCGTGAGCGACGCAGAGGCTCAACTGGTCGTGTGCGCCGACATTGGCGCGCAAGCTGCCCGCGCAAGGTCGCGCGTAAGCGCTCTCTTCGTCACTCTGTGTGCCTCGCTGGCGGCCCTCGTAAGCCACCGCGTGAGGTCGCCATACCATCTCGCGTAAGACCTGTTTCTTTCCGTCTTGCAAGTGAAAGCCCTTGTGGAAGGTTTGAACATATAGATGTTTTGCAAAATAATCGTTCAATCTGTCTTCAAATGGTACAAATAGAAAATGTCGAATTACATATATATATATATATATATATATATATATATATATATAGATAATGAATGTATATTGCGAATCGACATGCCCGACGTTCAATCATTCAGTCTAGCTTTAAACACATAGTGGCTGACCGTCGACCCCTTGGGCCAACAACAACCCGACTTCGGGTGTCAGCTTGCGGCGAACGACAGGTACATCCTGTCAAGACATCGCGGGCGAAACGAAGAAATGGCCCCGAGACGGCCCAAGATGGCTTCAAGACGGCCCTCGAGGCCGCCAGGACGGGCCTCCAGACATAGGAATCAACGAGCCCCCTTCAGTTCTTGAAGTGCACCCCAGAATGTTGGGCTCTCTGAGCGCAGCGGTTTTTGTCGCCTGGTTTGGACTGTCGTCTGGCCTCCTATGTTCGGGCCGGGCGAAAGGGGGGGATTGGGAAAGGGGGGGTTACGAAATTTGCTGCATGCAGCTGGTTTCGGCCTCACCGAGGGGCCCTTTCCTCGATACATAGCCGCCTCCGGCGCCGGGAGTCGCCGGGAAGATAAGCTACGCGAGCTGATTCTCAAACCCCCCCTTTGCTATCCCCCCCTTTTCGTCCGACCCGATATGTCTTTGAGGCAGAGGCCTCTTGGGGCCCAAGCAGTCCCGCCGCACTCCGGGAGCACGACGTGCAGCGGGGGCCCCCCCCGAGGCCCAGAACCCTCCGAGGCACCCACGGCGCTCTGAGTGTCCTCCTCCCCCTCCTCCTCCTCCTCCACCTCCTCCTCCTCATCCTCCTCCTCGAGGGAGAAGGGGATAGCCCTGGGGTACACCTGAGGCGATGCTTAAGAAGACCAAAGTTTTCGTCCAGAGTCTCGATTATGCTAAACTTTTCAATGTGCATCCCAAGATTTTGATAGAAGCTCTGGGTTTAATTCAACTTCTGAGACTATGAATTTCTTAACCCATGATTTCTTAAGCATTTCGCAGGGTGTAGCGTGCTTTTTCCCTGGGCCTCGATGGCCTCCCAGCCTTCTGTGCTTTCTGGCGCGAGATCCTTTCGAGTGCCAGTGCGCTCCGCTGCACTTGCGGTGCCTGGAGTGGCCTTTCTCCCCCGGTCTGGATGGTCGTCCGGCCTCCTGTGTATCCTGTGGCAGAGGCCTCTCGAGCCCGGCGCACCCGGCTGCGTTTACGACGCTCGCTCTAAGTGTCGCGTGTTTCCCCCGGGCTTCGACGGTCGTCAGTTTTAGGTATACATATATATGTATATATATATGTATATATATACACAGCAGACGAGCCCTCTTTGAGTCCCCTAAGCACCCCGCAGCATTTAAGACGCTCTGAATGCGGCGGCGTCTCGTTCCTGGGTTGGATGGTCGTCAGGCTTCCTACGCTTCTCGACGCAAGGGCCTCCTCAGGCCCAAAGCACCCCGCTGATTTTCAGGTGCTCGAATTGCAGCTGTTTTTTTCTCATCATTTTGGATGGTGGTCCAGCCCCCTATGTATCCTCAAGCAGAGGCATCTCGAGGCCAAGAAACAATTGCCGCGTTTAAGGTGCTCTAAAGTGCAGCGTTTTGTTCCTGGTTTCAGTGGTTGTCCAGAATCATACGCTTCATCAGGCATGGGCCTCTTGAGTCCCACAACACTCCGCTGCACCGAAGGCGCTAGGTGCTCTCAGTACAGTTGCTGTTCACCCCCCAGGTCATATGGTCGTCCTTCCTCCTACGATTCCTGACGCAAGCGCCTCTGGAGAGCCATGGCATTCTGGAGCAAGCGTGCGCGGGTGCTCTGAACTGGGGAACGATTCGCGTGAAGGCGCTGCCGACTAAACCGGATGGTCCCGCGTGAACGCGCCCATTGAGGAAGTAGGCGGAGCTCCATGTGGGACACGATCCGTGTGAGGCATGCGCCGACACGGGCGGGGGTACGCCATGCGAAGTTGCCCATTTGGCCATATGTAGAGCTCCTTCCAGGGCACGAAGGATGCTGTGCGAACCTTGTCTCTGGGACCGTAGGTGGTGCTCCCTGTGGGGCACGATCCGTGTGAGGCGTGTGCTGAAAGTAGCGGTGGGCGTTACGCGAACCTTGTCTCTGTGGCCGTGGATGCAACTCCTGGAGGGCACGATGCGGGAGAGGGGCGTGCCGAAATAGGCGCGGGGGCGAGATGCGAACCTCGTCTCTGGGGTCCACAGAGGGTCCACAAGCTCCAAGAGAGGTTTTTCGCTACCCAACTCGTTCGAAAGCGGTTGCTTTTGTTATACATGTTTGTCCTTCGTGTTCGTGGTTTTTGTCATGTTGCGGAGGAGGAACGGGCGAGGAGGAGGAGGAGGAGGAAACGGAGGGAAAAGTGGAGGGAAAGGAAGTGGAGGTGGAGAAGGAGTCATGTGATGATGATGCTGCTGCTGATGATGATGATGATGACGATGATGCTGATGCTGATGCTGATGCTGATGCTGATGATGACGATGATGGTGGTGGTGATGATGATGACGATGATGATGATGATGATGATGATGATGATGATGATGATGGTGGTGATGCTGATGATTGTGATACTGATGATCATGGTGACGCTGATTCTGCTAATGATGATGATGCTGCTGCTGCTGATGATGATACTGATGATCTGATGATGATGAGGATGATGAGGATGCTGATGAGTGTTTGTGATGATGGTGATGGTGATGCTGATGCAGACGATGCTGCTGCTGCTACTACTGATGATGATGATGATGATGATGATGATGATGATGATGATGATGATGATGATGATGATGATGATGATGGTGAGGATGATGCTGATGATGATGATGCTGGTGATGATGTTGGTGATGCTGCTGGTGATGATGCTGATGATGCTGCTGGTGCTGATGCTGATGCTGCTGCTGCTGCTGCTGCTGGTGATGCTGCTGCTGCTGCTGCTGCTGATGATGATGATGATGATGATGATGATGATGATGATGATGATGATGCTGATGCTGATGCTGATGCTGATGCTGATGCTGATGCTGATGCTGATGCTGATGCTGATGCTGATGCTGATGCTGATGCTGATGCTGATGCTGATGCTATGCTGATGACGGTAACAACGGGAGAAGGGTGGTCATGGCAAGGAGGGCAGTGGGACGGCTGAAATAGGGGTTCAGGATGCGCTGGCGGGAGAATAGGAAGATGGTGCGACTTCCATCATGTTTTTTTGGGGGCGGTTCATGGTGAAGTCGTCTTGGTATCCATCTGGGGAATGCTCCTCCCGAACGCCTCGAACACTTTCTGTCGAGGGATTCGTCAAGGAGGAGGAGGAGGAGGAGGAGGAGGAGGAGGAAGAGGAGGGGAGGCATGGGGGGAGGCGACCTGTCGAGCTGGTGCTTCGTGCGCTCGTCCTCCTCGCTCCGTTTTCCTCCTTCCTTCTCCGAGTGGGTGGACGGAGGAGAGAGAGCGAGAGAGAGAGAGCTCTTGTGGAAGTCGCGCGCGCATCGCCCCCCTCAACAGTACTGTTGGGGGTGGGATGCTCCTGTGCGCGCTACGCGATGCCCGTGGCCTAGCTCCCCCTACCCTGCATCGCCTGCGCTTGAGAGTCGGCTCCTTCCTCGCTTCTACCCCCACGCAGCTCCCTTGAAGGGGGGAAGATGACACGCGTCCCATCCCCCAACGACGAACGACCACAAACGAGCACCGAACACGGCGACGACGAACGACGAACGACGAACCACGAACAGCGACCAGGACGACAAAAACCAACGAACGACGAACGAAACGACGACGCATTACGAACAACGGACGTCTAACGATGCCGCATATGCGAGCACATCGCTGCGCGACCACCTCTCGAGGGGTTGGTGGGGGTCTGCGTGAAACAAAATTCGGGGGCTCTCTCGGGATCCCTAAGGTCACGTCAGGGTTCCTGGGGCGTGGACTCGCGCGCCGCATCGGTGGCAGGTCGTTGCGCGAAGATATCACACGGAGGTCGACGCGCGGCGCTGGGTATTATCCTCGCGCGAGGGGGGTAGCGCGCGCGCGCACAGGGACAGACTCGCGCGTGGCATCGGCAACTGATTCGGAACGCGGTTCCGCGCGGGGGTCGGCGCGAAACGCCGGGCAGTCTTCTCGTGCGACGGGGCTCGGCGCCGCAAACAAAAAAGCATACTACTGATACTATGCGCGCGTCGCCCCCCCCCCCCGGGGCGGCGCGTGCCCCGAGAGATCTCGTGTAGCATGAGCTCCGTGGTTGGCGCCTTCTGGCCGTGCCGCTCGGGAAACGATCGCAGCACAACTGTTGTGCTGTGCGATCGGGTCGGACGCACGCCTCCACGGCGGACGTATCGTACTAGTTTTTCTTTGTGCGTCCCATGGTCGCTCCGTGGTTGGCGCCTTCAGGCCGTGCCGCTCGGGAAACGATCACAACACAACTGTTATGCGACGTGTTCGGGTCGGACGCGCGCCTCCGCGGCGGACGCATCGTACTACTACACCCTGGGCGATGCTTAAGAAAACTTACGTTTTCCGCCAGAATCTCGATTATTCTTAACGCTTCAATGTAAATCCTAAGATGTTGATAGAAATTATGGGCTCTCATTCAAAATTCTGAGACTGAATTTCTTAACCCATGATTTCTTAAGCATTTCGCAGGGTGTACTTCTTTGTGCGTCCCATGGTCGGCGTTCGCGCGGA